ACCGCCAATGAAAGGCCACCCTTCGGCCAAAATTCTTCCGGCATGAAGGTCGACAGATGTTCGGTCGGTACTCTCACCACAAACGAATTACAATTCACGTTGTGGCGGGACTTCAACCGCTCAACCTTCAGGGTGTATTTGGCTTTATGTCCACTATCTCCTCAGACTTCGTGGAGTAATGCAATCGCGACAAGTATCTGGTCAGCAGTATCTGGTCCTGTCGGTGCTGTGCCTCACTGTTACGGCTGGTGGGCTTCCTCTTCTTCTTCTCCACTTTTATGAAGCACCGATCCATCTATCTCTGTGGTTTTACAACTTCAGAGACAGGCACACGGGGATTCTTTTTTCCATTAGCAGATTGCCGCCGCTCCTGCTTCAAAGGTCGGCTACTTGAAGCGGCTACAGCGGCGTACGCACGTGCAATTACATTTTCATAAATATATTGTAACGCTAATGTAAGAATGTTAATTTCCTTAAACTTGTCTCTGAATTCGTTATGAAACTCGGTTGTTCTCGGACTGTTATGAGCTGGAGCCCACATCTCGACTCCTAAAATCTAGGCTCGCCTTGTATTATAAAAAGTCGAAAAAAGAAATCGCATCGATAATTGAGTTCCTTTGCCATCCACACACGAAAGATAAAACTCCCTGTTGGACACTTGGAAAAGCTCGAGAAATGCTGCAATGTACGAATTGGTTGCAATTTAATTTGCAGCTAAACTGTCAAATGGAATCGAATTTTTGATGAGTGATTAACGGAAAATCACTGTTTGGATTTTTAAATTAATCATTAAATGACTAATTATAGTTTAAGTAAAATTGTTTACAAGCTTCCGCCCATGAAGTCGATTCGTCACATTCTTTTGCGTTTCAGGCGAAGAGGAGATACTGTGTATCTATGGCAGATACTCTGTATATCCATCCATCCTAAAAGAAAACTGTAGCCTAAAAGAAACATTTTTCTTTTTTGGCTATTATCGAGGCGAGATAACCAAAATTATTATTAAGTATACGTGATATATTATAAACATTATACCAGGGGTGGCTGCAATCGTGCAAAAGTAATCTACCTAAGTATGAAATAAAAGAAAATGCACTTATTACATTTGGTAAAAAAGGAGATTAGTTTGTTAAAAAAAGTAGTTGCAATTTTATTTTGCTGTATTTTTTTTGTTGTTGTTTGCGAAACGCATTACAAACAAGTGTCACTAATTTTGAAAAAACCGCCGAATACGCCATGATATTGGCCAGTTTTTTTAATTGGAAATAGAAACAGATTACTTTCCAACTGCCACTCGTATGTATAAAAGCATAACATATTATATAACAACGAGTAAGTAGATCTCTCAAAAGTAGGCAAACACACTGGTGTTAGAAATGTCCACGGACAATGATAGCCACCTCCCATGAAGTGACTAATAGAAAATCAATAGAAAAATATATCAAGTGGTTTGGCAACAGGTGGTTTCAATGCTGCTTAACATTACATTTTCTTACAAGCAACTTAATAATTATATAATATAATTAGTAGCAGTACAGCGCTTTGTAGAAAAGTTAACGTAAATATTGCCACCTTACCTAATTTGCTATCTTTAAGTGTGTTGTGTTTGTCCTTTCACCACATGTACATTGGACTTGTCAACTTCAGAGGGGCGCAGTGGCAGCCTTTCGGATTTTTACTTTGATATCATTTAAAAAACGGTTGGGTGGGGATAGCACATCACGTTTCTGCTGCCCTGTTCCAGAAAAAGGGTTTTTTGTCGTAGTATGGAGGTTGACCGTTGCACATTTTTTCATCGATAAAACAAGTTGTTCGTATAATTCATGGCCCCAGCGGGCCATCAAACGTTGATAATATTTATTCGATTATATTATGTTTGTAAAGAAGATATACTCATTGTCCCAGGTACCAGTAGGCACCCCCGCAACCCCCCGCTGGGACCCAAGTGCCCCAGTTCATCGGCCTGACCTACTTATGCTACATCCCCGCGCACCGCCTCGACTCCCTTGCCCCGTGCCCACCCATTGCAGTAACAACCCTGGAAGTTTTCTTATTCTTGCGTTGTGAATGTAAATTGAAATGTTTACAAATGTTTGTGGTTAAATAAAGAGTAAGAATATAAGGAGTTTGGTTACTTTATGCTTTAGAATAAAGGGTGAAACTTAATTCATGCGAATAATAATAAAAAAGATCAGCTGCTTCTTGTATTTTGGCGAAGAACCGATTAAGTTTTCTTTCGGGGCTTTAGAGCTTTTTTAGCGTTGAATGATAAATCTCTAATTCACATTTATGAAAACACATTCATAAATGTGTGAAAACTGTTAAAGTAACTTAGCTAGATTTGCAAACTTACGATAGTCCCAGAAATAGGATTAGGCTTGTACAAAGGATATATGCTTCTCCATAAAGTGGTATTAGCAACACACTTTACAATCAGGGGGTAAGTTTGCGATTACAATAAAAGCTCGGAGTGTTACCCACTTTACGCTTAACTTTAGCTTAAAACTGTTCTATGTCAACAACCCATTGCATGTCCCACTGCTGAGCACGGGTCTCCTTTAAAATTTAGTTTATATTCTGCCAAGCTGATTCAATGCGGGTTGGGGACTCTACCACCTTTTCTTAGGATTGTGAACAATCTTCGACATGCTGCATGTTTCCTTTCAATATTAGCAGAACTTATTTCTGCTAAACATCCACAAATGTTCGTAACTTAGTAACGAAAGTCATAGGTACATGCCACCACAGGGAACGGAACTACTTCTAGATTAAGAAGCAACAGTTCTTTCACTCAGCTATGGCTATCTTCACTAAGGTAGGCAGAGATCACAGCCTCCCACTTCTGTTCCATATGGTAACAATGAAACCTCATGGTAAGTCTTGGACGTCCGTCTGTATTCCCCAGCTGTTTTTTAAAAGACACTGCAATAACTACCGACTTAGATATAACTTACCACTTATACAACTTAATTGTCGACATAAAAGTATTTGCATTGTTTTTATAATAAAAAGGTACGGGACGAACAACTCGTGCGCCGGATCGCAAGCTATACGCCCGTCCATAACAGTTGTAGTGCCACTCAGAGCTTTAAATCGCGAAGATCTGAGGGTCACTACTCCTGCGACCATCACCCTAAGACAATTAACAAGTCCCATGTGAAGGAGCTCTTTTGTTTCTATATCAATATTTTCATTAAATAAAATATTGGTTTCCCATAGTAACATAAAATATCTTATGACGTATAAGTTACCATGAGACAAAACAAACATACGCGATTAACACCTGAAAATCTAAGCTCTCGATCTCTCGATCTGCTTTCTTGTTTTATGTATCATTAAACGGAAATACTATAATTAAATAATACAATACGTAAAGAAATTCGTAAGATCGGTCAAGTCGTTCCGAGCTTAGTTGGGAGAGTGATAGCCCCGATATGGCGAGGTCGTTAATTCGAGTCCATCCGGATCGAAGGTATTTTTCTTTGAGTTTTTTCGGTACTTGTATCAATAATTGCATCAAGCTGACAATAAATAGTTGTATCTTTATCGGCTTTTTTCAATTTCCCTGGCATCCCCTGATTAGATTTTGACTTGGTGACAATGGAACCACTTCGAGAGTGCAGCCTTTCAAATAAAACAGGAATTTTCAAAATCAGTCCACAATTGACGGTGAAATCGGAAAACGTACATACAGCCGAACGCATAATCTCCTCCTTTTTTTACTGGATTAAAAAATAAATATCGTATTAGTAAATTATTTACAACCGTTACCATGGCTACTGACCAGTATTACATGTCTTGGAACTTTCCAGAAATATTCCTAAATGTTCCTTTGGATAAATAAACCTGACAGCCTGTTGCCATGGCAAACGCTACACCTATTACAGATTTAGTGTCGTACAAATTCGTGCGATCGAAATGCGCAGATCAAGGTGCGGGTTACAAATTTAAACTTTCAACGGTCATTAAAATCCTATCGATATTCATTAAATCTAAATACTAGGAATCGATACAGTTAGAGTGCATTTTGCTAAACGCCATTCCAAATACAACTTTAAAATGAAAGGAATACGAATGGAAGTTAATTCACCACGTTGTCATTTCCGACTATATTGTAATGTATAACGGGGCAAGGCCAGGAGTAAGGAAGATAGAAAACAATATACTACGTGAAATATCATTGGTTAAAGAGGGACGGAACGACAAGAATGCAAGGCTAAAAGTTCACAGGTAGGTCAGCGACCTGACCCAATTTCTGGTTGCAGGGCAACATATAAATATTGATTTAGTGACCTCTTTCTACCTGTTGCCTTCGCCCTTATAAAGATGGCTCGTGATTTATTGATGAAGTTTCAAGGCTCGGCTGGAGCACGCCTTTTAAAGGAGCTATTGGAAAGTCACGCGCTTGGAAGATTTTAAGTTTATACTTTCTTGAAGGTTTCGTCTGAAAAATGTCAATATTCTTTTTTCATAACAAATGATATGCTGAGATTTGTTTACTTTGCAATGATTTTAAATAACAATGGTACTTCAAGAGCAGTGGCCTAGTGGAAGAAGAGTACGGTTGCTATTCAATTTTGAGGTCTACGGTTCGAATCCCTGTGACATAAACCTATGACTTTAATTTCTAAATGACATTCGTGAATCTTTGAATCTGTGAAGCACAACGTTGTGATGAAACCTGCACGTCGAGGAAGGTGATGTCCCTAATTCTCACCTTAGACGAGACCCGTGCATAGCAGTGGGCCATGTAAAGAGTTGTTGATGATGATCTTGACCTGTAGCCTTTGTTACTTGTTACTTTGTGCAAGAGCTAGTTCAGGGAAGTACTGCCACTTTACCTATATCTACCTCCAAGCAACTGTTATGGATAGGCGTGTCGCTTACCAAGGTATCATAAAAAAGTAGACATACAATGAAAATGGCTCATACGTTTGGCAGGTAGTAAGTAAATGGGAGTAATACACAATGATAAATTAAAATGAATATGTTTGTTGCAGCATGGGTGCTTGGCTGGCTGATGTGCAAGACGGTCCCATACGTGCAGGGGCTCTCCGTCGCTGCCTCCGTGTACAGCTTAGTTGCAGTCTCCCTTGACCGGTGAGTTTTCATCCTCTATGACGTGACACATTGAGATAAATCGCACCTTTTGTATATAATAGCCACATGTAAATGTGGAAGTCATAAAAATAATACAACAAATACTACGTAAAACAAATTATGTGTATGTGAAATTTTGTAACTTTTTTATTTAGGGATAAAAAGTTAAGAACTAATTTCGTTCGTCCAATTTTTAACCTCTCTCCTGAAAAATTGTCATTTTACAAATGCGACTTTATTACATGAGTGTGAAACATGTTTTTCCGCACGTGACATCATGTAAAGTTCCCCCACAGAGAAAATATAGTATCTGCTTAGAGAATTTTCAAAACGCAACGGTTAGAAATCGTTATCAGTGTCTCTATTGCGATTTACTGTGGCAGTTGTCGCAGCGACCGCGTAAATTACTTTGCAATTTTGTATGCACAAATTATACAGCGCCCCTAACGGTCACAAGAAGAAACAACATTTCGCACCCTTCATGGAAGAATGGCATAAGTGGAGTTACGTCAGAAATATTTACTGTTACATCACGTAACTCCATGCAATCGCGCGTTTGCATCGATGCAATCGTATATAAATCGCGCGTTTCATGAACGCGTGTTTGCATTACTGATAAAAATCGGCATGTGTAATCACTCATAGGTCATCATTAGGCCATTTTACTAGCAACAACCATTGCACGTATAGTTACAATGATATTCCATCCCTAAATTTTTTATTTTATTTACAAATATAACATATAGAATTATAATTACTATTTGGTGAGAGATGTCGCTATTCACTGTATTTTAGCTACATTTCTCGCCAGGGCTTGTAGCTGCAAAGGTATCTAACTGGGTGATAAAACTTTCATAGATTTCTCATAGATGGCGCTACGACTAATAAGTCGTTGAAAAACCAAATACAAAGACACGACAATAAGCACTTAGAAAAATTCGTGAAGTCCGCTGGTTCGTTCCGTTGCTTAGTTGGTATAGCGTCTAACACGGTATACTAGAAGACATCGGTTCGAATCCGGCCGGAACGAAGGAATATTTTCTGAGTGTTCGATCTTTGTATTAATAATTATTATGGATTCTTTTTATATAAGATAGACAACTGCTTAGCTACAATCTCACTCGATGTTATGCGACGGTGTGGCCATCGTCGGAACTTTGAATATCTAGATTAAAGTTTTCGGGAAACATATTAATAGATAGCGGTAGTGTATTTGATTCCTCCAAAAAGCGATAGATTTTTTTTTAATAAAAAAATAAATACTCAGTTGACCTTCATTTGAACTGAAGGAAAATGACGTTGAGGTCGATCATGAAGCATACTACCTAAATATTGTCTATTAACTCTCGTCTTCAAAATTGCAAGTTATATCGTTCAGGGAATAGGTCTTCAAGCAGGAAATTCCACTCCATAACCGTTTGCCATATAAATATGGAAGCAAAACGTTTCATGTATATCCATAACGTCCACAATCCACGCATAAACAAGTAACTTGTTGGTTTATGTGAACCATCAAGCACAGTGATTGCTACAGTAATTTTGAACACCAAGAATGAGGACGCAAGGGTGGTATATCAATGCCATTATTGAGGATGGACTAAAAATTATAAAGTTCCTCACACGTACTGCGACTAAAATCTTACTGTACAGGTTCTCAATTAACGTCATTACATTATCCGTTATCTTGATATCTTTAATCTGTACATGCCGTAAACCTAAGCTAAATCCTTACCAAAGTTCGGCAACCTCCGTGGGACAGGAAATTAGATAATCCGATCGTAAATGGCATATGAACTTAATATTCTTAATGGACATTTCTCGGGTTCTTGTAATTAATCATAATTAGGCGTCCCATGTCAAGTTATGACATATTTTTATTGATACTAATCATAAAAAAACACTTCTAAACTGCATAAATATATTAGTCAAATACCAAATACAAGGACACGACGCAAGCACATAGGAAAATTCGTGAGGTCCGTTGGTTCGTTCCGTGGCTTAGTTGGTATAGCGTCTGCCACGGTATGCAAGAAGACGTCGATTCGAATCCGACCGGATCGAAGGAATTTTTTCTGAGTGTTCGATCTTTGTATTAATAATTATATTAGTCATGTTTTGGCGCGCCTGATGCTTTGTAAATAGCAAACGTACACATAGCAAATTTAGTTTTAATTAAAATTTTAACTATAATATTTGTAGGTATTTTCTTCGCTTGTTGTTTTTCCTTAGTTGTTTCTTACTATTAGAAATTCCCAACAAGTACTGAGTAAAGGATTAAGGTACAATTTTTTAGTATTCAATTCCTTTCAATTTCCACCACATGTACATTCTTTCGAGAACAGCTATTATTTCCTAAAAGTTCTATTATATTACACATACTTAACAAAATTTGCACGAAACAACAACCTATTATATTCTTACAATACATTTAATTATCCTAAACAAACACGCCATAAACAGAAGCCCATAAAACCCGGCTAAACAAAATATGGAACACCCTCATTTCTCACCTTTGGACCTCATTATTATGTGCAGACATTATTTTTCGGCCAAAAAGGCAAGGACGGCCTCATCTGCGGGTCAATTAGAGTTGATTTTATAACTGTTACCTGTTACTATAGAATACGGTTGCGTCGATCGTAACTATTATTGATGTATTAGGTATTGCTATAATTATTACGTCTTGGTTAATGTTTGTTCTTGCAACTATAATATGAAATGTGATAATTATGACAACAACGAGATGTAAAATTAAATTCAAAGTTTTTTAATAAGGTTTTTTTTTCATAATATCGTCTTATCGATCCCGTATAGTCTGAAGCGCTCATAAGATTACAAAAATCTTGTAACAAGTGTTATTTTACCTGTTGTCAAATACCCCACTCAGGTGTAACCAGGTGCATCTCTACACCATGGATCCACCTTGACCTGCAGGAGTCCATTATATTGATGACATTATACCGCCTCCTGGCCAAGGCCGGTGAAGACCCGATTATGGGATCCATTGACTGATTGCATTCCCTTCTTGACGATACTTCTTTTAGGTATGAAGTGGATATATTCAAAGGATCTACTTTGGTCGTTGTCATGTGATTTACTATACACGTTCTGTGCTTCGCCCGTTCTTTATAAACTTGGTGACATATTTCCATTTATTCGATGACGAAACTAACAAACTTACACAATACGATTATATTTTTTAATCTCCACTGTCGGCATCATCAGCAGCCCTATGTCCATCATGGCCATCACCATTGTCCTACAAGTGCTCGCTCTTGTAATGTGATTATTCTATCTCCATTTCTGACTCCTTTGATCTGGAAAGACACATTGAATTCGTAATTTTCAGTATAAGGCATGTCCGCTATATATCTGCCTTTAGTATTGTGTTCAAACTAAATTACGAAAGTTTTTTAAAAGTTTGTTTGTTTGTTTGTTTGTTTGTTTGTTTGTTTGTTTGTTTGTTTGTTTGTCCTATAAAAAAAAACAACTTTTTGAATATGTAATTGAATGAGAATTTTTAAGAGCAATTTGCTTACAGGCTAGAGACAACGACTTTTAATGGTGACGCCTTTGAATCGAGTTCTTTCTTTCAACGTCTAAAAATATGACGAAAGGTCAATTTGGGATAACAATCACGCCTCTCATATCTATCGAATTGCCAATAACGGAGAATTCAGATCCAGACAGATTACGTGCGATATCGCCCTCCGATGCTTGCACAGCGAAATTTGATTCCACGTAAGAATGCATCTGTTTTGTTATTTAACACTGAATTTCGTGGCCAAATCAAGTTCCAAATTAACTAGAGTTGATTCTAAGAAATCCGATTCGAACCTACGGCCTCTATCACGTGTAATGGGGTTGACGTTGACGGATGATGATAATATACTGAAAAAAAGTCTTAAAACTTCGTATTAACAACTAATCACGAACCTTTTGTAAATAACGAATGCATTTTGAAAAAAAAAGCAAAGAACAATAAAGGGATAAAAAGACCTGTGTAAATAAAAGACAAAATAATCAAGAGCTATGACCCTTGTCAGTAGGGAGTGTAATTTCGAATTGAGATTGGGCGCCAGTGTTGACGAGCGGGATATATGAAATACGTGTTACCCTGTCTACTGGTTTATTTTTATGACTGGATATTTTTTTACGATTCGCGCAAAATTAAGTTAGCCTTATAATAATAATAGATAGAAAGGAGAAAGAAAGAAACATTTATTCAGCTTATTACGACTTACACAGAAGAAATTTGTGATTACAATCACAAGCTGAAAAGGATCCAAGTCAGCATGTTGACAGCTCGACTGCTGTAACGCTGTTTTTTTTATTTTTTTTATAATAACAAGTAACGGGACGAACAAGTCGTATGCCTGATGGCAAGCTACATGCCTGCCTATAACAGTTGAAGTGCCACTCAGAGATTTAAATCACAAATACCTGAGTGGCATTGCCGCTACGCCTGTCACCCTGAGACATAAGTTGACAAGTCCCATGTGCCTGTAACTTCACCAGCACGCTTACTCTTCAAAAACTGGAACACAGTAATGCTGATATTACAGCTTGGTGACAGAAATAGGTAAGGTAATTACTTTACTCTAGTAAATAAAGATATTGTATTCAAGTGTATAAAGATCACCAGGAAACTAGACATAGGCTTAGGTTCCCTATGTTGTGGACATACCAAGCGAAGCGTTACGCTTCCACATTTACATGACGAACGGTTAAGGAATGGAATTCGCTGCCTTCAGACTTATTCCCTGAACGTTGTAACTTGGGCCTTTTCTATGGTAAACAGGTATTATTTAGGTATGCGTACTCCATCGTCGACCTAATTGTCACTTTCCATCAGGTGAGATGAAAGTCAAATGCACAAATAAACATTAAAAAAGCAATCAAGCTAGCTTAAACGCCGTCAAATAAGCCCAACCTGTCCCTATCCGCAGTACTTCTTATTTAGATCACAATAACCTTTGTTGACAAAATGCGACAATAGA